AGAACATAAATTTGACACACTGAGCATTCCGAGGCGAGATGTGTTCGCTTTTGCCCGACTCATGTGGCAGGTGGGGTTGCTTGCATTGTCGTGAAACACGACATGCGCACTCACGCACACACACACATTAGGCTGTGGCGGATAGAAGAAGATCTGTTGAGACCGACATGTGGCCGGCAGGCAGTCGCGACCAGAATGAGCTTGTAAACCCAGGGAAGATGCAAGATATGTGGTCAGGCGCTGACTGGGCAGCGGCCCTTCTTCGGTTGTTCCGCCATCCAGGTGCCTTGAATTCGTTTAGTTTTTCGTGCTGGATCGGAAGCAACAGTTGCAAGTCATTGAGGTGGTTCTGCTGGTCTCCCAAGGCCGCGGGAAATCACCGGAAGTTTACAGCAGATTTCTGGAAGATGGGAGTCGGATAAGGATGGCGAGTGTCAGTCTTATCGGCAAACGGCGAAGTTGATTGGCGCGCCTTTGATGGGATCGGTTGCGAGGTCCATGCAGAAGGAAGACAATGAAACTTGAAGATGAATCTTGGTCCTCCCACACCGCATCATGCGGCACAGTGCACTTATTGCGAGGTGATATGTCATGGTCTACATTGTTTTGTTCAGCCATGTTCTGCCCCAAAAGGGTCAGTTTCGTGCAAGATTTGACAATGCCAGTCGTGGATCCGTGTCACAATTTTGTTGGTGGCCGAAGACACAAGATGCTGTTGCCGTCTTGCTTGAGCGGCGCTGCGGCTACGGCTAAGCCAGCATGTAAAGCAAAGCAAACATGACAACCTGACACGAAACGAGGCAGTGTACTAGTGTCAGTGGTTGCCCATGCCGATGAGCTTGAAAACATGTAAGAGGTGGAGACATTACGTATGCAGGTCTTGAAATTAATGTTGCGCGGCCCCGCGATCTCGTCCAGAGTTCTGTCGCATGCAGATTGCCAGGGTACAACCTCGAGTTGCATCCTGCCGTGCCAGAGGCCTCCTCGCGCTCAGCAGCACTTCTGACTCTTGACTCTAGGACTCTAGGTCAAGAGTTTTGCGACAGCCTGGAAATCAATGGCACCCTCACCTGCCGAATGGCGAGTACAAGGGGGACGGGTGAGGCGAGTGGCGTAGCTCCGTGATTCCACTCACCCAGTTTATAAAGAGTTTCTCGAAGAGCTGGTTTCGCCTTTTGGGTTCGGTCAGGCATTCTATCATTGTAGCCGTGTAGCCATGCACACCGATGCCGCAACGTCCGAACAGGCGCTTCGGAAGCTTTACGACGATTGCGCGGCAGTGGCGCCGTCCAGGTGGCGTATGTGTTTTGCATCACGCCGTTGATTTTGGACAGCTTTTGTCGACAGCTCAAATCACACTCGTCCCGGGACCATTTTTGTGCCAGGAGGCCAAGTTTCAGAGAGATTCTGATCTCACTGCGTGCCGGGCTTGGCAGACATGTTCGTCCAGACGGGTTGAGGATGCTAGAACTAGGGCTGTTCATCGGCGACAATCAAAGTTTCCAGGGCAGGGATCCCAGAATCAGCAACATCTCCCACGACATGTCGCATGACTGTTGTGGCCGGCTGCCGGGTCAACGCAATCTTACTGCTCGATTCTCGATGCTCCGCACGGCCGGCATCGGCCAGTGGTGCTTACAGTCTCCTGCTTCCCAGTGCAGACCGGAACGCAGCCACGCCCCTGAAGAAAAACTGGCCTTGAGGGTTGCTTCACTTAGCAAGGTTCATGCTCATTGAGACAGATGCCTGAGAAAGACAACGGCCGAACATTTGTAGACTGAGCTGTTTTTTTGGTTGCCATGGGGAGCGCTCCCCGATGTACGGCAGCTCCAGGACGATGTGCGGGCCGAGGGAAATTTAACAGCAAAGCTTGGACATGGGCCAATACGGTGGGTATATGGAATATGTATCTATGTATCTTTGTGTCCCATATCTAACTCTGTATCTGTATTTATAACTATATCCATATCTGTATCTATCTTTATGTCTAGATCTAGATCTAGACCCCGATTTATATCTGTATCTGTATTCATACCTATGTCTATATCTCCACTAATACCTGTATCTATATCTACATCTAGATTGTTAGCTATTTACATTTGCATTTATATGTGTGTCTTTATCTAGATTTATATCTATAGCCGTATCTATATCTATATCTTTATCTAGAATTTTGAGCTAGATCTAGATCTCGATCTATATCTATATCTGTATCTATGTCTGTATCTGTGTCTATACTATATCTTCACCGATGTCTGCATGTATATCTGTATCAATGTCGAGGTCTGAATCTGTATCTATACATACATATGGGTGGTTGTCAAAATTAGGGTCCATTTTTGGGTCCTTATAATAATACGGCACCAATTATTTAGGGTACCCCAAAAGGGACCATAATTTTGACAACTACCCATATGCATATGTTTTTGTAAAAATATATATGTATATATGTGTATATATATATATATATCATATCGTTTCTATATATATATATATATAT